CTATCGGACCAGTGGAAGACAGTTGGATCAAGTGCACGGAGTCCGGCAAAGGCCCGCGGGAGATTTGCTGTTTTTTTAACTGCTTCCAGATTTCTTTTTTGTTATTAGGGAAGACCGGAATGCAATATGGGGCTAGATAGCATCAAACACTTCCTTTTTTTAGTGCCCAAGATCAAAAGAGGTATGGCGACAATTGGGGCTGATTGATGTTGTCAAGAGGAGATGTGCACAATTCAAATCAGGTGAAGAAGTGGTGCATGAACTATTAAGCATGGAGGAAACTGAAGTCCAGATCCTAGGTCTTCCCAAATTGAAGGAGGTTGGCCACTGCGGCATGGTACCTATGATTTGAACACCCAAAAAATTGCCATGGAGAGGACACCCAAAAACCCTCACAAATTGCTCTCGCTATCCGAGGACTCTCAGCTAACTTTACTATTGCTTGTTCCACTAAGGCAAAGGTACGTGTTCAATCATGGGAGAAGCTGATACAGGGGTATATGAAATTAAATGTAGATGTTGGCTTTGACCATGATCTTCTTGAGGGATCGGTGGGGGTAGTAATTCGAGATTACAATGGTAAATTTATTGCGGCAGCTAATGAACAAATGGACACATGCTATGATTCGTTCACTGCAGAGGCATTGACAGTCAGATTTGGCTTGAATCTAGCCAGAACCATTGGATGCAGCAAGATCGTGATCAACTCGGATATCATGGAGGTTGTGGAAGCTTTGGGAGAAGGTAACTCCTCTTCGGTGGCAAGTGCAATTAGTGATGATTTCTATTTCATGTCGTCAGGTTTTAGTCATGTAATTTATGATCATTGTAACAGAGAGAGTAATAAAGTGGCTCATGAACTCGCTAGGATAGTTAATTTCTCCTCCTATTTGGATGGATTCGGCACCGGATGTACTGCTCCCATTACTTGTAAACGATGCCACTATTTTGCTAAGTGAATAAAGAAGGAGAAGTTTTGTCAAAAACAAAAAGGGGAAGACTAATATATGATCTTTTTTTTGCATGAGAAACTTTCAAACCATTCATGTTCAATAATGGCAGTACAAAGAACGTCTTATTTAACTGCTTCCAAATTTGTTTTTGTTTTTAGAGAGACTGGTATAGGATCTCATATTCAGCGAGATCAACCACAAAATTGCATATTTTGATATTTAAAAAATTCTAAAACTATTTGACAATATACCTACGGGGCATGTCTACAACTCCAAAAAAATCAGGTCAAAACTCGATAGAGATTCAAAAAGGACATATTAGAATGTGACAGCCTTTGGTGAATCAATAATCCTATACCTACGTACCCATCTACGTAAGCTTACTTAAAATTCCTAATCAACTCCCCCCCCCCCTTAATTTCACGTGGTGAGGCCCGGACCATTTTTCTTCCAATCAAATCACCCCAAACCAGTTTTCACGCAGCTTTACATAGAATAATTACGTAGGTGTAGCAAAGCCCTTGGTGAATAGTATTTAGCCACTATTCACATTCAAATTTTTCTTTTTGTTTCTATTAGTGTTGGATGGATTAGAAGCTGAATCTTTTTGAGATTGTACATCAAACATTGACGTGTGTGTATTTTTGTAAATGTTTAAACATGCTAATTATTAAAAAAAATTGATCTCAACTAATATGAGATCCTATACAAGTCTCCCCGGTTCAGGCGCACAAACCTACATCCACTCTCCCACTAATTTTGTGCTTCATTTATTCATAAATCAAATCCCCATCTACCCGGGCAAGAAGAGACATGTGACATCATCGTGACGTGCACAAGTCTAATGTAGATGAAATACTTCTTTCCTCCAGCGTTCAAGATGCCGCAATAGGAGTTGCTAATGCCTGACGTCCACGTTGAACCACTCACTCAAGGTTGCCAAGACCGTCAAGTCCTTTTATCTTCCTTCCACCTTGTTGTTCATCACCATCATAGTATTAGCATGGCAGGCTTGCTCGACTTCTTTGTTTTTTCGATTAAGAACATTTTTATTAACACTAGACAATTGCCCGTGCGCAGCAACAGGAGTATAAATATTCTAGTAGATTTGCCCGTGACCGCATGTTCATTATTATATCGATGAACCAAAAGCTAAGCAAATTTTTGTATGAAATCGCCATGATTTACGTGCCATTTTATTGTTAAGCACTTAGCAAGTTAATAAAACATGAGACAATTGATATAGAATGGATGGGAGAAAAATCAGAGATTGGAGGAAAAAATCAAAGATGAGAAGGAAAGAGTGAAACGTATATAAGGAAGTTTCAACGAAAGAAAGGTGAAATGAGAACCTTACGTTCTTTTTAAGTAGTAGAGATTGATGCGCTAAAATCTTAGCAAGTTTTTGTATGCAATCGTCAGGATTTACCTGCCATGTTATTGTTAAGCATTTTATTTGGTAAGAATTAAACGACTTACAAAACAAAATATGTTTTTACTTTGGTAATTTAATAAAACATGAGACAATTATTCTATTTTAGATAGAATGGATTGGAAAAAAATTAGAGATTTGAGAAAAAAACAAAGAGAAGGAAAGATGAAATGTATATAAGGAAGGCTGCACGAAAGAGAGGTGAAATGAGAACCTTACGTTCTTTTTAAGTAGTAGAGATAGAGAAGATAAAGTGTTTTTTTTGTAAAAGAATGTTTTTATTAATTTAAAATGTAACACTAATCGAATAGAAAACATGATGAGTAACAATAGGCCTTTGCGTAACCAAGATACACACAACCGAACACCAACAATCTAAGAAAAGATAAATAAAAAACTGACATGTCGACAATAGTAGAGTCATATAGGACTGACACAATGCCTATGTCAAAGGAGGTGGTAGAGCGATACGGAGATTATGTTGTTACCCATGTTGGGTAAAAACTTCCTTGGCCACTTGCTCCAATCGGATATACACCGCCTTGAATAGGGGTTAGAACCACGTTCGGTGTAGTATAGACCACATACAAAGCGAGTGCATACAACGGAAAATAACCCGCAATGAAGAATAAATTTTTCACTAAAAACCAACTCGTTTCTACATAGCCAAAGCAACCATAATAAGACATACACACCCACCCTTATTAGCATTCTGAACCTATTTGAAACATCGTCCACCAAGTGACAAAAATATTGACAACACTTGTGGGTGGATACAAATTAGACGTTATTTGGATGACTGACCACATAGAACATGCAAACTTGTACTGAAAGGAGAGATGTTTGATTGTCTCATCATGAGTAGAAAAGCTACACTTCTTGCTTCCTTACTAATTTCGATGAGTGAGGTAGTCTTTGCTGAGCACAACTCCCCTCCGACGATAACACATGAAGATTTTAACTTTCAATGGAACCTTCCACTTACAAATCTTTTTATTATTATCCACTGGGACCTCTTAATGCTTGAGCGCACAACACATAGAGTGAATTGTAAAGGACTCAAATGTAATGAGGTTCAAGCGGAACACATCACGTCTTACCGGACTTCTTCTTTATGACGTATGTGAAGCCTGTAGGGGAAGCATAATTGTTAGTGCATGGAAATAAATATGTGCCCTGTGGGATACTTGTGTATGAGCGTATGAAGA